TCCAAGGATAAAAATATTGTTTTAAAAAACATAACATTTCGTGTTCGCTCGGGAGAAAAGGTAAAACATTTTCAATCCAATGATTCTTGCTTTTAATTATTGTGTTAAATGGTTGCTATTATTAATTAATTGTAGATAGGAATTGTTGGGAGAACAGGAGCAGGAAAAAGTTCATTAATTGCTTCGTTATTTCGCATGACAGAGCCAACGGGAACAATCACCATCGATGGAGTTGACACTAAGGAAATAGGTCTTCGTGATCTACGTAGTAAAATATCAATCATTCCTCAAGTAAGTAATAATTACTTATTTCAAAATATTTTGCTCGATACTTTGTATTTATGTATTTATTATGAAAGATGTTTTTTTATTCCTTTCTGATATAAATATTTACTTTTTAAATGAAATAAAATATACAATTTAATGATTACTGATATCTGAGCGGTTAAAATGTCAGCCTGAGGGACCTGGATCGCATTAGAATGTGTTGAGAAATTTAAGAAATTTTTACAAAATGATCTTTCTTTGTTTTTCCTTATCCAGTCTCTTTATTATGGACGTAGATTAATTTAAAATAGACTTTATAAAAGCTTCCATTTTCCTCCCATGAGACAGAAAGATTTAAAAAAAACTATAATGATATAAAAAACAAATATCTGTGCACATATACAATATATAAAACGATACAAACTATTTATGTAACGAAATAATTTTCAGTGTTTTGAGCAATTGGTTAATAATCATTAATATGTTTCATGTGTGCTACTTCAATTAATGCCCTAAAAATATCTCATTTATAAAAATTTAATATCTGTTTGCAGAATCTTCTTTCTAGTTCTTTAAAATACAAATGAAAGGCTGTATAATTGAAGGTTTTTTACTGACTGATCAAACTATTCGAAACGTCTACTAATAGAATGTGGGTGCTATTCTGGCACAATCGACATAAGACATAAGATTTAAAGTAATTCGCCGAACTCGAAGGTATAGCCAAGGAAGGAATAGGATAGGGGGAAAGGGGTGAGTGAGGGAGGAGAGGAAAGAGAAGGGATAAGTGTGTATAGGGTGCGGGAGGGAAATGAGAGGGGAAGAGAAAAGAGATAGAAAGAAAAGGAGGGATCCATGGGCTCCTGCCAGAAACTGGTTAATGAACAGCTTAAAATAATATACAATTAACAAAGTAGATTATATACAATTTGATTGGACAGATGACACAGGTGGCGCCTTATGAGGTTTACATGCAAGACAAAGCAGAGATCCTGTATGCTGAGAGAGGAGAGCCAAGATTGGCACAGCGAAGAGTAGGTAGACCGTTTGTGATGATGATGTGGAGGGATTTCAGACGAGATCCGGTGAGTCTTGATTACTGGGCGTGGGTGATATTGGTGAGGTAATCTGACCGTTGATTGGAATATTGTAGTCCGCTAACCTCAGGTTGTTAATGTACTGCACAAAAGTCCGATAGGTGTCCCTGTCTTCAATGAGGGCATTGAGGGGACAGGGCCAATGGTGCCCCTTGTCAGTTANGATATGAAACAACACCAAAAATTATTAAGATACGAATGGAAGAAAATACATATAAAAAAATACAACTATCAGGATAAATACAGAATCTATACGGACAGATCGAGTTCCTCAGAAGGAGTGGGAGCGTCGTATGTTTATTACTATAGAAATAGGGAACAGTATCATATAAAATCAAGTTAGATAAAAGATGCACAAATTACCAAGCAGAATTGGTAGCAATAGATCATGCAATTAACTGGATAAGTCAAAGGAAGAAAAATATAAAAATTACTATTTGCACAGACACCAGGCTGTATTAAAAGCTTTTAATGATAGTAACAATAAAAGTGAACTAATAGATAATATAAGACGAAATGTTGTGAAAAGTGATAATATGTTCAGCTGGGTTAAAGCTGTGTACAGCTGGGTTAAAGCCCATTTTGGAGACCAAGGAAATGAAAGAGCAGTCAGTCTGGCTAAAGAGGCTAGTTATCTAAAAACAAAGGAATCATACTGAAAAATAACTACAAAATATATAAAAACTGAAATCAAAAATAGATACATATTACAGTGGCAACAACGGTGGGAAATAACTACAAAAGGAAGGGAACTCTTTCAATACATACCAGATATTAACCAGAGGTTAAATAACAAACATCTACAAATTGGACACAAATTCACAAGATTCGTGACAGGTCATGGAGATTTTGCGAAATATCATTATAGATTTAATCATCGAGATGATGAAAACTGCGAGATTTGTGGGGTAAGTGAAACACCCACACACATCTTATTTGACTGTATGCAATATGAAAAAGTAAGAAACGAGTTAAAATTAGTTTGTAA